TAGAAGAGCTCTTTCCTAGCACATACAAGCCCCTGATTTGATCCCCAGCACCAACAAAGAAAAGAAAGTTAGGGATGAAGGAGCTGAGTGGAAAGGCAGGTTTTCTGACTTCAAAGCCACTAAGTCATATAATCTTTCCAGAAAAAGAAAGATTGAGACAAAGTAGAGCCTTTGTTGTTCCACTCAATAAGATGACATGACATGACATCCTTTTAGCCAGTCCATGCCCCACTCACCCTTACTAGGGTCCTTCTTCCTTATGAAAAAGACTTTTTCCTTGAAAAAAATTTTGATTAACAGTTAACGTGATAAAGCTGCTCAGGCAAATGCCTTGCCCAGGAATTTATGGTTGGAGAAGTTAATAACCTTTGGGCAGTGATTTGGTGTTTGAGAATTTAAGGGATTTAGACATGTTGACTATTTTAAAGGTCCAAAGAGAGAGACCAGTAGAGAGCTATTCTATGGTGAGGCAGTTATACATGACTATTGGCTTGCTTCCAAGAAGTACGAGAAAATTAGAGAACTTTGGGGTGGAAGGGAGAGGAGCAAATTCCTAAATTGGCTTTCCTTTAATATATATTTGCCAGGGGTAATAATAGAAACTGAGGTAGTATGCGGGCAAGGCCCTAGCATTGACCTATTAGTGTTAGTACATGGAAATGGGGAATTGTTTCAGAGTCAGTTACTCAGGGTGGTAACAGCACAGGCTGTGATAGAACTGATTTTGCCTGTGTGCTTACAGTGAAGTCTAGTAGCACAGTTTATTTGTGGGCTGGAACACTGTCCATAGTCAAGTCTCTCAGGTTTCATGAAATGGGGATAAGTATAGATGGAAGCTCAGGTTAGCTTTGAATCTTTTCTACTTGCCATTCAGACAACACAGACCTAAGTTTTTGTGTTAGTTTCAAGACTTAGATTTAACAAAGGTAAGTGTACTTCCATTTTTTTTTTTTTTTTTAAACATCTGTATATCTTTTTCCTATTTCTGTTAAATAAGCAGGAGTATAAATAGCTGTGATGTTCCTCTTGGAGTTGAATATTTTTAAGCTATTTAGACAAGTGGATTTTGCAAAACTATGAAAGTAATATCTAAACACAATGTCTAAGAAGAGCTTTGGGGTTTGGTTTTTTTATTTTTTCTTTTTCTCCTTGTTGGAAATAGTCATAGAGATATGGATTTACTCCTGCTTGTATTTAGTTGCTGCTTAGTTGCTCAACCTTGATACATTGCTGTTATTTTATGTATTGTTTTGTGCAGAAGAGGAAGCTGAAATTCTGGGGAAGGAGTGATGGCAGGTGAGTGGCATGAATTCCCTGAAGAGCTGGCAGTTTGAAGGAGGCTTTGCAGTCACTCCTGTGTACCAGTCCCGGGGCCACAGCCCATCTCACATGCATCTCTTTTCCCTAAGTTTTTGTTCACTCCTGTGTTTTCAGGGAAGTGGGAGTGCCCTTGGCACCAATGTGACGTCTGTGGGAAAGAAGCAGCCTCCTTCTGTGAGATGTGCCCCAGCTCTTTTTGCAAGCAGCATCGGGAAGGGATGCTCTTCATTTCCAAACTTGATGGGCGTCTGTCTTGTACTGAACATGACCCCTGTGGGCCCAACCCTCTGGAACCTGGGGAGATCCGTGAGTATGTGCCTCCCCCAGTGCCAATGCCTCCAAGCCCCAGCTCACGCCTGGCAGAGCAATCATCAGAAATGGCTGCTCAGGGGCCCAAGATGTCAGATAAGCCACCTGCTGATGCCCATCAGACGCTGCCACTCTCCAAAAAAGCTTTGGCAGGGACTTGTCAGAGGCCAGTGCTATCTGAAAGACCTCTGGAGAGAACTGACTCCAGCTCCCAGCTTTTAGATAGGGTCAGAGACCTTGCTGGATCAGGGACCAAATCCCAGTCCTTGGTATCCAGCCAGAGACCACTGGACAGACCACCAGCAATGGAAGGACCAAGACCTCTGCTATCTGACAAACCCTCTCCAGTGACCAGCCCAAGCTCCTCACCCTCAGTCAGGTCCCAACCACTGGAAAGACCTCTGGGGACAGCTGACCCAAGGCTGGATAAATCCATAGGTGCTGCCAGCCCAAGGCCCCATTCACTGGAGAAAGCCCCAGCCCCAACTGGCCTAAGACTTCCACCGACAGACAGACTGCTAGTCACCAGTAGTCCTAAACCCCCAACTTTCGACAGGCCCCCAGACAAATCCCATGCCTCTTTGTCCCAGAGACTTCCACCTCCTGAGAAAGTACTATCAGCTGTGGTGCAGACCCTGGTAGCTAAAGAAAAAGCACTGAGGCCTGTGGACCAGAATACTCAGTCAAAAAACAGAGCTGCTTTAGTGATGGATCTCATAGACTTAACTCCTCGCCAGAAGGAGCGGGCTACTTCTCCTCATGAGATCACACCACAGGCTGAGGAGAAGGTGCCTGCGTTGGAGTCCAGCTCATGGTCTGCCAGCAAAGGTCTGGGGCATATGCCTCGAGCTCTGGATAAAGGCAGTGTGTCAGATCCTCTTCTCCAACCATCTGGGAAAACAGCACTCCCTTCAGAGCACCCCTGGCAAGCTGTTAAATCACTCACCCAGGCCAGACTTCTTTCTCAGCCTCCTGCCAAGGCTTTTTTATATGAGCCAGTAACTCAGGCCTCAGGAAGAGTTCCTGTAGGGGCTGAGCAGACCCCAGGGCCTCCCAGTCAAGCACCAGGCCTGGTGAAGCAGATGGCCGGAGGTCAGCAACTACCTGGATTTGCTGCCAAGAGTGGGCAGTCCTTCAGGTCTCTTGGGAAGGCCCCATCCTCCCTCACCACTGAAGAGAAGAAGTTGGCATCCACAGAACAGAGTCCTTGGTCCCTGGGAAAAACTTCATCAGGGGCAGGGCTCTGGCCCATAGTGGCTGGACAGACGTTGGCGCAGTCTTGCTGGTCTGCTGGAAGCACACAGACATTGGCACAGACTTGCTGGTCCCTTGGAAGAGGGCAAGACCCCAAACCAGAGCAAAATACACTTCCAGCTCTTAATCAGGCTCCTTCCAATCACAAGTGTGCAGAGTCAGAACAGAAATAATACCAGTAAATGTTATATGACCTTACAAGCTGCCCCCAGGGTACCATTTGGAGAGGGGAATCTTTGTTTCTTCTTTTTGCCCCTTGAAAAACAGACCTACCCAACACTTTTCCACTGTTATTCTTTCCTTATATCCCAACACTCAGAACTCTTGTGACATTAGCCAGGGGGGCTTATGGTTGTGTGAACCATGTATGGAAATCCAGTTGGCTCCAGCCAAGGAGACAGACAGACTTGAATCTCTTGCCCCCAACTTTTACACATGGTCAACTTAAAATAAAAAGTCCACTTTGGAGTCAAGCATGGAATTCAATTCCGCTGGTCAAGTTGGAAAGTTTAATGGGCTCTTGGAGCTATTCCCCAGCCCAACAGAGCTCTGTGAAAGATACCCTTAGAACCCGTGGGAGGAACTGATGTTCATTCAAATCAGTGGCCACTCCCTGAGCATTCATATGTGCTAGGCCAGGGCTAGTCACTGATGAGTGATACAGAGATACATAAGACTTGATCCATGAGAGCCTAACTTGTCTGCCTGGGTTTCCAGGCTGCTTTCAAGAACTTTTGACCAGGAAACAGTAGGAAATACTGAGGGGCCCTGGGTTTCCATGCTCCTTTTGAAATGTTCTTTGTGGCTATGGTGAGCAAGTATCTCCTGGTTGGGACATGCATGCATGTATGTTCAAAGCTCTCCTCTATAGGCAGAAGGGTACTGTATCAAGGCCAAAGAGGACTGTTGGCTGGCACATCTATGCTGCTTCTGTCTACATTGTGCAAAGTCTGAAGACTTGTACTTGGAGCAGCAGCTAGCTAGTAGAGGGAGCTTGACTATGAGAATGTAGCTTTCCAGCAGTGGAATTAGGCAATTGGCAAGCTTACCTTTCTTTCTACCAGTTTTTCTCTTTTTACATAAACCCACCCTATTCCCATTTCCTCAAACACTCAGGTGCTTTCAGATTTCAGTCTCGGGCAGTGGACATAGGGAATTTCTGGCAAGCTCTTGTCTAGACATACCAGCTTTAGGAAGGGTGCCAGATGCTGATGGAAAATTATTTCTCCCCTGGTCCTTTGCCCACCTAACTGAATTGAGGGAGCTAGTTCTTCACCTCCCTGAGAATTGCTGTGTTCTCTATTGAGATCACCTGCCTGCTGACTTAGCTCAAGGCAAGCCAGAATCCTTCCCTAAGACTGGAGAGATGTGTTGTGTGGAGCAATGTCCAGTCTAAGAGATGACTCCTCATAACTGCTGATTATCTGTTACTGCTGCCCTGAGCTGGGGCCCAAGGGCTGGGAAATCTGTTGGTGCTACCCTGCCCTATCATTCACCCAGCTCACTGACTGCCAACAGGAAATGCTGTTTGGCTAGTTTCCTCCCAATCACCCACCCCACCTTAGTCCCTAGACCAAACATGTTTACCTCTCTGCTTTGCCAACTCAGCCAGCAGCTTTAGCCAACAGGCCATCTTCTGGCCCAAATGTCTCCCAGCCTTTCTGTCTCAGTTAATGACTTTTACACTCTGAACAGGATTCTGTATTTTGTCCCAGTTTCCTTCTCCTAAGTTCTTACTGAATTCCCATCACTTCCAAGGGGAAGGAATAATAGTTATAGAAGCATTTGCGCTTTATATAAAGATTGAGAATAGAATCTACTTTTATTTCCCAAAGTCTGTCTCTGGGATTGAGACACTTGAACTCAGGCAGAGGGATGCGGCCGGGCAGGGCTGTCCCAAATTTAGGGGCCTATCCCTGCACTTCACTGAGACCTCAGAATCTCCTCTGAATTCCACCTGCCTAGTTCTCCCCTTTCATCCTCTCTTCCCACATCATCAAAGAGGAAAATCTTTGTTCAAAAGGAAGAGAAAACATAAAGCATATTATTATTTTCTTTTAAATAATTTTAAACCATGAAAAAGATATTTTTAACAAAATTCACCCAGAACATTACAGTTCACTATATTAAGTATTTATCATGTGTGAGAATAATAAATATATAACTGCAGCTAGTAGGCCCCTTTCCTAATCTCTTAGATTGTGTGAATAGGTTTGCTTGGTGCCAGTCCTGTGCCTGTTGCTCTCCTGTCATCTGTAGTTGTGATCAGAAAAAGATATCTGCACTGCACTGTCAAAAAAAAAAAAATCCTTTCACTATGTTATGTGTTCAATTACCGTAGCTCTTTGTTTCATGAAATAAACTGTGAATTTGGGCGGGTGGGGGGCGTGCAGGCTATGTAAAAAATTTAAGTGGAGAAGTTTGATCCCAAACTAGCTTCTCTGAAGTAGGCTTTGGTAGGTAATTGACTGACAGCTGTCTAGAAATGTCTCACAGGACAGGAGGAAGTGAGAGATAAGGGGCTGTGCCACTTTTGGCTACTTTCTGGTTTTGTTTTGGTTCTTTCCATTCTCCACCATTCACTGGAGGCTTGGTTCTAGAGCTGCCTGGGAAAACAACTTGAGCTATGCACTTGGTTGGAGGGGACAGTTCTTAATGGATGGATAGTCAGGCCTTTGCCCAGGGCTACTGAAAAGACTAAGGTTGTTGAATGGAAACTAGAAATTTGAGCCTTTGGGCCCACTGATAATGTATGTGATAGTGGAGAGTTGAAATCATGGAAGCACTCACTATCCAATAGAAGCAGAGTCAACAAAACTGGTAGAAAATGACTCATTATGAAGGTGGGGAAAGGATGACCCTACACCCATTTTTGGCTTCAGGAAAAGTCTGCAATGAGACCTTTCTTCAAGGGAGTTTGAATTGGCAGTTAAAAGGAACTCTTTTATCTTAGAAACGTATGATCCTTGTGCAGGATGGTATTTTGGTGTTTGTTATTTGGCTAAGTGCTTGGAAACTAGGAGCTCAAGAGAGTCTACCTGTGAGTAAGCTCCCCAGCCAGGAAGTATTTTCAAGGGGCAAGCCAAAGGTGGAAATGCTCCATAGGTAGCTAGAAAACTAATACCTCTCCTAGCCCTGTTAAGTCAGGAAAAAAAAAAAAATATGGAAACTGTTAAAATTTGCATTCAAAGCCTCATTTGCTCCGAATGTAGGAGCCAACCCCCCTTCTAAAAGGAAATAGCTATTATTGCTACAAAAGCATCCATATTTTTAGAAATATGCTTTCCTCTAAAGTTATTGAGTTCAACATTAACTTAAATCACTGTGTCAATCCTCTGCTAAACCAAATCCACATTTCTGACATTAATGATAAGATTTTATTCTTCACATCCTCCACCCCACACTATCGTCAGGGCATGAAGTGTAGTAGCAACCCTCCCTGGCTGGGCACTGTCTGCTCACTGGAGCTGGACTCCTGGTTGTATTCTAACATTGCCTGGTGAAAGCAAAGGGCAGAAAGGAGGTCTGGTCCTGGCAGCTTCTCTCTGAAAAGCAATCGGAAAAACACTAAACTTGATGGGTTTTACCCATAGCTCCTATAAAAGCGGGTTTTCTCTTAAGGCTTTTGTTGGGATATTGTCATCCTTATGGGATTTGTCATCAGGTCAGGGGGCCCAGTGTCCTAACTTCTGAGATCACAGTAGGAAAGGAGCTGCCTCAAGCACTTTTCCTGTTGAGTAACATTTGAGCTGTTTGTGTGTGTTAGACATTCCAGGTCATTTAGAGCTAGGTAGCTGCTACAGGAGCTTTGGCTGTAGCCAGTTCACTCTCAGCTGACTTCCTAGGCCAGTGCAGCAGGGCCAGAGATTGCTGTAGTGTAAATTGAAGTATGAATAGATAAATGCTTTGTACACAAAAATGTAATGATGGTGCTAATTTCATGGTATAAATAGGCACTGCCAAGGGTTGAAGAACTGGTAACTTGAGAAATCCAAACAGGTTCCTGTTTGAAAGAAAGAGATTTCACATAGCAAGATTTCTTGGAGGCCCTGTGAGGGGTGGGGAGAAGGCAGTGTCTCATTAAAGCCTGCACCCAGCCCTGGAGTGGTCCAGCACAATCCAGAGGTGGAAGAGATCCTGTATCCAGATGAAGGTGGCCATTGAGTTTCTCAGGGCTGGGGTCACCTTGTCTGTAGCCTCCGTCCACACTGCCTGGAACACGTTGGTAGAGAGCTCTGGGTGTGGGGTCTCCCTCCATTACCTTCTGCCCCTCTACCTCTTCTACTCTTATGGGAACACCTCTATTGCTTATGAAGATTAAGGGTATTATTTCTTAAGGAAGTGGAAAGAGTTTATTTTAATTAGAAATCCACAACCTCAGAAGAAATGTTTCCTATCAACATAAGCCAAGCAACACATGTTAAACTCTTCTGTGCTCCTTTCCCTAGGGCTACCTTCCCAGGAGTTTCAGAACATTGGGCTACTGAGGGGCTCTAGGGATAGCACTTGGGATTTCAGCACAGCCTCATGGACAGGGGCAAAAACAGGGAGCAGAATAAGAGTCCTGGTGTGTTAGGTTTCCATGTCGGGCAGAACAAGCAGTCTGAAGGACGAGGTGGTGCTGCCTGTGTGTGCATGTAGGTGAATGTGGAAGGTGGGTGAATGCAGCACACAGAAGCTCATGGAAGAGCAGCTTTCTAGGTCTTGGCAAAGAAACAAGCTGACAAGAGATCTTTATATTTTTAAGAAGAGGGGGCAGGGGGTTCAGCCAAGGTCCATCTCTCTTTTCCCCATTCCCCCACAGATTGTCAGCTGGAAGTGAACTCCTAGTGAAAAAGAGGGGAGCCCTGTGCTAGGAGTCCCCATAAACATGTACTGTAATTCTTTGTATATAGAAAAAAAAATTACTGTAAAGTAAAGTTTAACTTTACTCTTATGGCCCTTGCCCTGTGTTTTATTTTATTGTCCGTGGGGAGACACAGCCTGACAAAGGATTGGTTTTGGGTGAGAGCAGGAGCCAATCCCAGAGATAGTTCCCTGGTGGGAGGGGGCATGGCAGAAGGGAGCTCTTCCTCCTGGCACTTCATGTGAGTGGTCTGGATTTCCTCCCAGGTGCCACTGCTTGACTAAGCATCTTTCCCTTTTGTTGGGAGTGTCTGGTATCAGTTTCAGTCCCCTCAACAGGAAGTCTCCGTCACTCAAGAAGGAAGGGTATTTTGAGGAATTGGTTTTAAAAAGAGAAGTGAAACTAAAGCACTTTCTTGAGTATGAGTTTGAGCATGTTAATTATAAACTCTTCAGAGACAGGTATTGGGCACTGCAAGGTCTCAGCCAAGGCCTAAAGGCAGGAAAGCAAGGGCAAAGAGTGAGCTGGAAGGCAAAGCCCCTCCAATACCATAACAGGCCACAGTACACACCTCCTGTTTGAACAGGAAGTGTCGGCCCTGTTTACACTAATACTTGACACTTCAGAAATATTTGGACCTCCAAAACCCAATACTTTGGGGAACCTTTGGGAGTTTGCCTCTCCTTCCCTAGCCCTAAATTCCCTGTTCTTCCAATAAAACCTTCAGGGAAAGAATTGGGAAACATTCAGTACTAGAATACTCCTCACTTAGGATTGTCACAATGTTGAGGTAGCAGTCATTTCGTTTTACAGATGAAAAACTCAAACTGAAGAATAAAGTTGCTTTTCTGCACTAGCAGCTGAATTGGATCTGAATCTGGATCCATAAAACCTCTCTGTCTTTCAGACCATTATTTTTCCTACCAGTAAATCACACTGTAGGGTGTCATTGGGAAACCCAGGATCTGAGTCATAGGTCTAACCCACACACCCAGATGTGACAGATGCAGCAGAGGTAGCCTCTATCTTGAGGTAAGAGTGCCTGACCCTTCTCTCTCTGGACACAACTTAAGTGCTATCTTTGTTCCTCTTGGCACCCAGAAAGAACTGTGAGCTCTGCATGACCCATCCCCTGCCTCTAACCTTGTTTGCCCCAACAAAAGGAAAGAGCTGGGGACACAGCTTATTGGTAGAGCCTTTGCCTACCATGCACAAAGCCCTTAGTTCAGTCCCCAGTCCAAAAGGGGGTAAAGGGAGCTCCAATAGCTCAGTGAAAACCCTGGGCAAAAGTTACTTGGTTTCTCAAGGAAAATAAGAATTTGGAGGAGCCTTAACAGGAAGTGAGGCTAGCCAGGTGGCACCAGAAGGAACTAGGTGTCTTGACACCCAGTCCACACAGCAGGGAAAAGGGCTGAGTGTGATTCACAGTGCATTGATTTTATTTACAGATCAGTAGCCACTTAAAATATATCTTTAGACACAAGTGCTGTCCAGGGCAGAAGTCTGGGATCCAAATCAGCCCTTAGCCCTCTTATGCCCACAGTCAGCCCATTGCTGCCTCCATTCCAAGGGCCAGCACAGGCAGGTGCCACCTCTGCTGCCGTGGGGACCAAGGGTAGCTAAGACATTGGACCACCCAAGCCCTTACAAGAGCTGGGTCTAGGGCCTCTAGGGAATTCCTTTTATTCCCCCAGGCCAGGTGAGTGGTGACTCAATGATGACAACAGCTGTAGAAGTAGGGATTTGCCTTCTGGCCCAGATCCACGCCCTTGTCCTCTGCCAAAGAGAGAGGTGGCATTTCAGCACCATTCTGGTGGGGGGATCCGGCAACTCAAGAAGAGGGATAGAGGCCTAGAGGAAGGCTCCATAAAGGCTGGGAAAGCACACACCTGTCATCACCTGGAAGGCTGCCACACTGACGTAATCCTCTGCCACTTTCTGGAAGAGCTCGTCTGGCAGGAAAATGATGATTGGTGAGGACCTGATGCCAGCATCCCTGGGATCTCCCAGTGACCCAGCCCTCTGGGTTCTATCCTGCTTCCTCTGGTAAACCATCCTATTCTTCTTGAGGCCCCAGGACAGCACTCACCCACACTCTGACCTGTCTTGCTGGATGTTTCAAAGAGCTGGGCTTTGATATCTGCAAAGAGAAGTGACTTAAGGGTTCGCACCTGAGAATTAGGTCAACATAAACAAGGAGAAGGCTAGCAAGCAGTTCATGGTGTCTCCTAGATTCCACGGGTTCGAGGAAGACAAAAAGCCCTCCTACTGCACCTTGCCAAGGCAGACAAGGTCCCTGTTCCCTATAACCCACAAAAACAGCCCCCCACCCCCACCCCGACCCCAAGGGCTGAGGAGCAGCTACTGTCTGCATAGTCCTGGACATCATGGAAGTCCACACGGCGGCGGCGCCGGTCTTCCTCCAGCAGGTCACTCTTGGTGCCACACAGGTAGATTTGACAGCCCTGGAGCAGAAGACAAAACCAGGATCACTCCCACAAAGAGTCTCAGCCCCTGGTCTTTTGGTGTGGTCTGGCCACATACCTCCTCTAGGCTGCGCAGCTCTTTCACCCAGAACTTTGCTCTTTCAAAACTGCTGCTGTCAGTGAGGTCTTGGTATGGAGCATGCAGGAAACACAAGCACGGATCAAGGGCTGTTCTGAGGCCAGCCTGTCATCCAACCCTTGCATAAAGAAGAGCCCAGAACCCCCATACCGTAGCAAACGATGGCAGCCTTAGCCCCGCGATAGTAGATTCTGCTCATGGCCTCATAGCGCTCAGAGCCTGCTGTGTCCTGAAAGGCAGAGGAAGGCCCAGCCCTGGCCGGAGTTACTTAACTGGGCTACTTCCCAAGATTGAAAACTAAGCCTGTGTCCTCCAGATCCCCATTTTCTAGGTGAGGAAATTGGGGTCTGGAGAAAAGAAATGGCCTCTACGAGGCCTCCAGCTAGCCAGTGATAGATCAGGACCCAGGCCGCCTTAGTAGTGGTTTTCCCCAATAGCAGATGGCCACAGGACTTACCCAAATACCCAAAGTCACCGTTCGGTCTCCAACCGACATCACTTTGGCCACGAATGCAGCCCCAATAGTCTGCAATTAAGGGGAAGAGATCAGGGCCGCAGGTGCAGGCTGGCTGCCTCCCACTCGTGCCGGGCTGGAAGGGTTGCACTCACGTTCTGATAGGGCCCCACCAGGAAGCGGTCGTGCACGTATCGTTCCACCAAGCTTGTCTTGCCCACGTACTCCTTGCCCAACATCACCACCTTGACGTCCACGCGCTGCCCGCTCATGCTCCCCGGGCAGCCTCACCCACGTAAGGGTCCGCTCCGCCCAGCCTCAGACCCCGACCCCAAGCGCCTCGCACCTCGACAGCGCCCCTGAATGGCCCGGCCAAACCGGCCCCGGGCGCCGAGTGTTCCTCCAAGACACCCCAGGGCCGTGGCGGCCTGGGAGCGCGCGGGCAGCGCCCTCCACGGCGCCGCACGCCGCGGTGCAGCTCGTCGCTCGTCACTCGTCACTCCTTAGCCCTCCCGCTCGCTTGCTCGCTCGCCTGCCCGAGCGGCTTAGGCTGCACTGCTGCCTAGGCTTCGATTCCGCCCAGATTCACAGCCGAACTTGGGGTCTCCCACAACCCTGTTCCAATCCGCAGCACCGCGTCTCCCGCGGGAGGGGGCGGGGTCGCTAGGTCACGTGGCACGGACCGGAAGCAGCGAGACTGAGCGGCGGCGCCGGAAGTGGTGCGCGGCTGTACAATCCCTCATGGCGGCAGTAGCAGCGATTTGGGTGCGGCGCAGTGGGCACTGACTTGCGAGCCTGGCGGGCGTGCGCCGAGCCCCGGCCCGGCCTCCGCGTGCCCCCCGGGCTCTGCACCCCTGATGCTGCGCGGGTGCTGAGCCCGCCCCAGCCGGGACGATGGTGAAGTATTTCCTGGGCCAGAGCGTGCTCCGAAGTTCCTGGGACCAAGTGTTCGCTGCCTTCTGGCAGCGGTACCCGAATCCCTATAGGTACGTGAGCCAGGGAAAAGCAGACCTCCTTCTCGCCTTGCTATTTGGAGATCGAAGTGTGGGCAGCCCCTCAGTAATGGGACCAGGAAAGACTAGAGTCTTGACATGAGGGATCTGCGGAACCGTGGCGGTCCTTAGGGTACGGAGGAGACCTTATCGGGGAAGCGGCCAGGCCGCGCCTGCAGATCCTGGAAGGAGGCTGGTCCTGGGTGATGATTTACTTGAGGCTGTAGTCTGAGGTTCTTAAGGTGCTGAGGTTAGGAACAGGCAGCGGCACAGTAGTTGGGAGAGAACTTGGGTTGGAAATCCGGGCATTTGCCAGACCTGAAGCCACCCCCGTTGCAAGGCCCAAGAATTCACCTCAGGGAGGAGGCGGGAGTTGGAATTTGCCCTAGGATAGGTTCAAGGTACTTTTAGTTCTGAATTACAGCACAAATCACTCTGCAAGATTGCAGGAAGATAAGGAGAGAGGCTCCCAACAGGAACCCCAATAGACGGTCTGTTGGGGGGGGGCAGTTTTCTAAGGGTCCCCCTTCACTGACACCTGCAGCAAACATGTCTTAACTGAAGACATAGTACACCGGGAGGTGACCCCTGACCAGAAGCTCCTGTCCCGGAGACTCCTTACCAAGACCAACAGGATGCCCCGCTGGGCAGAGCGACTGTTTCCTGCCAATGTTGCTCACTCGGTGTACATCCTGGAGGACTCTGTTGTGGACCCACAGAATCAGACCATGACCACCTTCACCTGGAACATCAACCATGCCCGGCTGATGGTGAGACTGCTCTTGATCCCCACAAAAGTAGACTGCTCCTCAGGTACATGGCTAGAGTCATGAGAGACTGGGGCATGATTGGGTTACTGTGGAGCAATGGCTACAGGGTACAACCTCAGATTATCTCTTTATTTCAGCTGGTCAGCCTCTCTGGACCTGTCCTTTGACTCGTTCATGGGGGAGGGAAGTGCTCATTTTACAGAGTTGTTGTAGGTACTAAACACAAACATTTATGTAATGTGTGACACACACTCCGATTGGGCCCACAGAAGTGATGCTGGGGGAGGAAGGTAGCAGTTTTCACATAGAAGTCCATTAAGCCCAAAGGTGCCCTGGATGTGCTTCAGCAGTTGACATTCTAAGCCCTTTACCTCGCTTTGACTGGAGACATTCCACATTTATCTCTCATAAAGGGATCTCTGCCTGAGATTTGGGGCAATGGAGTTCCACATACCTCTTTAAAAGCTTGAAAACCGGGGCTGGGACTGTAGCTCAGTGGCAGAGCACTTGCCTAGCATACGGGAGGCACTGGATTCAAGCCTCAGCACCACATAAAAATAAACATAAAATAAAGGCATTCTGTCCATCTACAATTTTTTACAAAAAAATAAAATAAATAAAAGCTTGAAAACCCATAGTTATGGTTAAAGGAACCATTCCACTGCATCTTTTCACATGTGAATACCCTGCAAACTTTCAGAAAATTATTCTTCTCAGCTTACTTTCATGATACCCTTGAGAGGTACATATTACTCATTTATGCCAAGATGAAAGGTTCAGAGAAGGGACGTGTCCTACAGTGTCACAAAGTGAGTGACTACCTTCCTCTGCCCAGTGCAAGTCATCTCACATGACTGCATGAGGGTGCTGCTTGGTAATGACCAAAACAGCAATCCATTCATGAAAAGTGTCATTAAGTATTATTCTAGAAGTAGAAATCCACTTTCTCCTTTCTGTTAATGAAAGCTGTGATGACTATCAGGCATCTATTTGTATTTGGATTGTCAGAAAGCTCAAGAACTGCAGTGGATGGAAATTTGAGTTAAAAACACCACATGTACCTAGATATAAAGGCCCCAAATAGTCCAGGGTCCCAGGATAGAAAGCCCTCTGCTGCTCCCAAGAGACCTCATGCCCTCTAGTGTTTTTAAGGGTCAGGAAAGGGGTTTACTGGGTAAAATGGTGTTGGGGATGCAATAACAGGAAGGAATGGATTTTCATTTCATGGCTTCTTTTTGTGAAAAGAGGCAGGGCTTCAGCTAAGTGTGGTGGCACATGCTTTTAGTTCCAGCTATTCAAGAGGCCAAAGTGGGAGGATCACTGGAGCCCAAGAGTTCAGGGCCAACCTGGGCAATAATATAACAAAGAAGTGGGGGATCAAGACTGTGTGTAGGTTGGTAAAGCAAAAGATGTCCCTGCAATGTGGGTGGCCTACCTTTCCACACAGGTGGTGGAGGAACGATGTGTTTACCGTGTGAACTCTGACAACAGTGGCTGGACCGAAATCCGCCGGGAAGCCTGGGTCTCCTCTAGTTTATTTGGTGTCTCTAGAGCTGTCCAGGTAAGCAATGTTGTGGGGTTTCTAGGGCCTGAGGCTGTTGGCATGGAGGCTGGGCAGAAGTTAGTGGCCAGTTACCAGTCCTTCCCACCTCAATCTTTTGCCAGGAATTTGGTCTCGCCCGGTTCAAAAGCAATGTGACCAAGACTATGAAGGGTTTTGAATACATCTTGGCCAAGTTGCAAGGTGAGAATTCTGGGTGCTGTTGGGGGGAGCTCATCAGGAGAGGCTGGGTCAGATCCTAGCTCAGCCTGACTTTCATAGACCCTGGACCAATCATTACCCTGCTCTGAGCCTGAGACTTAATCTATACCAGGTAGCAAATGTCACCTTTCCAAAGGGGTCAGGCCTCTACTAGGTAACTGGCATGGCTGGGGAATGTAATTAGGTGGGGCCTCTCAGCACCATATGAAGCTAGCCTCCTGCCCTTTATTCTAGGTGAGGCCCCTTCCAAAACACTTGTTGAGACAGCCAAGGAAGCCAAGGAGAAGGCAAAGGAGACAGCACTGGCAGCTACAGAGAAAGCCAAGGACCTTGCCAGCAAGGCTGCCACCAAGCAGCAGCAGCAGCAGCAGCAACAGTTTGTGTAGCCAGGCTGGGCCCCTGCCACTGCCACAGCCCACCAGCCGGCTGTGGGCTCCCTCCGCACCCTTTCATTGTACTTGATTATTAAAAATCAACTTCTAGCCCTCTCTGCTGTCTGGGTGGTGGGTTGGGGTGGGTGTCCTGTTCAGCATCTGCAGTACAGGCACATATCTGAGCCCAGCCTGCTTATTCTCCCATTGGGCAGCTGATGACAGGCACAAAGAGGGGCAGAGGTATGGGGGGGGGGACTTGCTCAAGGTCACAGGCAGTATGCAGGGGGATTGTTGATAAACAATAGACTGTAAGCTCCAAGAGGGCAGGGCTCTTTGTTTTGTTCTGATGTGTCCCAAATACCTGGAAAAATATCTAGCACATAATAGGCACTCAATAAATATATGTTGAATTCAATCAGCCCCAGCTCTGGAGTCAGAAAGCTTTAGTATGGATCTTGACTCCACTGTTTCCTGACTTTGGAACTCAGGCAAGTCACACCACCAGGCCTCAGTCCTACCACCCTAAAAGCCCAGACAGGACAGCCTCCAGGTTGTGAGGATCAAGTACACCACTCAGGATGGTGGTGGCAGCTGCTGATCTTATTTCCTCTTTTCTAGTTGTGGTTGTGACTTCCTCCATTTTTATCAGGCAAGACCATGGACGGGAAATTATGAAAGATGCTTTTAATGAAAATACTGTACAGTATATGTAGGGCAAAGGCCAGAGGCCTTATTCAGGAATAAGAGGGTCCAAGAGGCTTCCTGCCCCTGCTGGAGCAGCAGAGCCAAGTGCTACAAAAACGCCTGGAAAGGCAGCCCAGGCCCAAGCTGCCTGCCCTGCAGAGCTCTGGGTGCCTCCTCCCAACCGGTGGGGACTGCCTGGCAGCCAGTAGCAGGTTACAGGGAGTAGCTGTTCCCACACGAGGGTCCTTTCAGTCCATTCCAACTGATGCCTCTGAGCAGCCCTCTGGGCTGCCTGGTGGGCTCAGCCCATTGTGAGTAGAAGGCAATCAGAGTAGTGAGCATCATAGCCAATCACAGGTGCTGTGCGAGTAGCTGTGCTCCTGGCCCGCGCTGAAGCCCCGCAGCAGCTCGGCTTCACCCCCAAACACCAGGCTCTCCACATCCACCTCCAGCTCCTCTGCACAAGGAGGGTTCCAGTCAAAAGCCCTGGCCCACCCACACTGCCCAGGGCCCTAGGCTTCAAGCCACTCACCTTGGTCTGAGTCCGAGCGCTCAGAAGAGAGGCCTGAAGAGTCCAGGCTATCCGCTCGCAACCTCTCACCTACTGGCAGCCCCCGGAGCTGCTCCAGCTGCCTCTGCAGGCTCCGCTGTTTGCTGCGCAGCTTCTCCTTGAGCCGCCGAGCCCTCAGCTCCTGTTCCTCTAGCTTCTGTAGAGACGGTAGGAACAGGGGCTGGGGTCAGCACCCCAAAACGTGAACTTTGCCCATGTGCCACTTGGCAGTGGGCTACAGCCACATGTACCTCTCCCTACTCCAAACAGGCAGGCACATAAACCTGGGCCCCAGAGGGCTGTTGAATGTCCTCAGAAAGCAGCTCTCTCCTGTGTTTCACCCATCTGTGCTCTGGTCTAGATGGGCATGGCGTGGGAGACACGCTAATCCCAAACACACTTGTGGGCTGGCAAGTGCACATTCACTCGAGGAGGCAGCCACCTCCAGGTTCCAGCCCATTGCTGCCACATGGCAACAGGCCCAGCACTGCCAGATCTCCCCATTTCTTTAAGAGAAGCTGGAAAGCCAGATTTTTCATGTCAAATGCCCTTTGAAATGTTGCCAACTAATTTAAATTGTGAGAAAACTTAGACTAAACAAAGGCTATCAGTTTGCAATTCCTGGTCAGGATCCTCCTGGGGCCCTAAGGCTCCAGCATTAACCTCCTCCCCTCATCCCTACATGAGTTTTGTCAGCCCTAATGTTCAGAATCTGGAAGTCCAAGGGCCCAATCCTCGATGGGCAGAGGACTGGATTTAGTCTTTTAACAATAAGGGCAGATGGACTGAGGCTGTGCCTCAGTGGTAGAGCACTTGCCTAGCATGTGTGAGGCCCTGGGTTCGATCCTCAACACCACATATGTATGAATAAACAAATAAAGTGAAAAACCCATTGGCAACTAAAAAAACAAAACAAAACAAAAAACCCAATAAGGGACAGGGTATAGAAGGATGTGTAGGAGCTACCCAAAGATGGGGGTAGGGAGACACCATGGCAGAGGAGCCTGGCAAGCATGGAAAGTGTGTCTTTTTCTTTGGGGGATTGGGGAGAGACCAGTCCAAAAAAGCAGTCATGATAAGTCCTGGGTTGGAGAGGGCCTTGAGAATCATAATAAGTAAGGAACTGAGGCTTTGTTTTGTTGGGATCCCTGTCAAGGTTTTCAGCTGGAGATGGGCCTGGGCACATCTGTGTATGGCCAAGATCATTCTAAGGCAAAGAAAAAGACAGTCTGGTAGAGGCCATATAGGAAAGAGGGAGGCCAGTGAAGAGGTGTGCATAAATTAGTCCAGAAGAGGGGTGATGAGGCTTCAAGGATGGAATGATTCCCAGGACCTGCCCATGGACATCATCTACCAAGAAACTAGACCAGGAAAGCACCATGTGGTAAACGGGGACCCATTAGCCAACCAGAGTATTACTCAGCCACAGTGAAGGTGATAACAGGCACCTATGGGGCAGTGTGAATACTTCTTACATCTGGGATTTATTTGCTGGATGGCACTTGGATCTGTCTGCCACAGTGTCCAGTGCCTACAATAGGGCCTGGCACAGCAGATGCTCAATAAATATCTGTTGAAGGAAAGAATGCAAATGAGGGGGCCTGGGCCTGGATCTGTCTTTCCTCAGCACATAACTTTGCTGTGCCTCCTTCTCTTCGCCTGTCAAAAGAGCTAGGACAGGAAAAATCCTCTATTGTTTCCAAGGCTGCTTCTAATATGGGCATCCCTGGGGCTGCTTGGGCCTTGGCACCTGCACACTAACTCCTGACCACTAGGGGGCAGACAGCTCAGCCCAGGCAGTAGCAAGGGCCCTAGGAAGCCCAATGATTAGCTCCCTTAATCCCTTCTCCCTTCTGAATTCTGGAGTGGATGCCTCACAGGGTAGCATTTGGATAGATAGCCTAGAACAGCAGGTCTTGAAGGATAGGAACAGGGGAGAGTGGAAACCAACCCTCTGCAATCTAAGGGACCATTACATATGATTTATCATAGAAATTTTTTCAACAGCAATTCCCTCCCCACCAGAGGAGGAAGCAGAAGTCCAGACACAAGCCAAGTGACTTGCTCAAGGTCTCCAGGCTGGAATCTAAGTAGTAATAGCTGTAACAACAATGAACATTTACAGGGTGAATTCACTGAAGCCTCAGAACAACCCTCTGAACTATTTTTTGCTTTCCTTCCCATTTAATAGATTAGAAAACTAAAAGCACAGAGAACTGTCCCCAGTCACATAGTTGGACTATGTTTGGCCCTTTTCCCTAGTTCCACCCAGGCCTCCCATGTCACACCTGGGGACACAGGGTGCCCCCCCTCCACTTACCTGAATGTGCATCCTGGCTCTACGCAGCAGGTTCAATGTGGTGTATCGGGCACAGTCAGTCCCCAGGGGCATCTGCTGCTTCAGCTGCTCCAGGCATCGCTTCAGCTGGGCCCTCCTGTGGGGGAAGGGGTCTGGAGGGCAGTACCAGCCCCACCTCACCAGCCAGAAGGACAGCAGGAAAGGCAAGGCCAGACAGAGGTAGTTCCTGGGACCTGGTGCTGTCAGGGCTGGGGTGGGACTCACCTACGCTTCTCCAGCTCGTTGTGCACAGACCTGTCAATGCCAGGGAGGATGAGGTGAGGGGCTGTCAACTACAGCCCACATCCTTAGCCCAGGGCCCCCTGTGACTCAAAAATCTACTACAAATGTCTGCCTCAGTCAACCCTCTTGTGGGGACCTTGGTCTGGTCTTGGGCACCAGAGCCCCCAGGTAGGGGTGAGAGGAATCAGAGATACACAGACAAATGCTGTGAGAGGCCTGCCAGGTGGTTGTCCAAATGAGGCTCTCCTGCCATCCTGGCAAGAAAGGTTTCCTGGACAGAGATGACAGGTGAACTGAGCACAAAACAGAGTTTCCCACACAGGGCAATGGAGGGAAAGGCATTCGAACTGGACGAAGCAGTGTATGCAGAGTGTTGAAGTACAACAGTAAAGAAATAAGCCTGTGGAGAAGAGAGTGGTTTGATGTGTGAGTGGAAACAGGACCCAGAACTGTCTTGTTCACAGTTCCTGTCACATCAAAGGTCCTGAAGTAGTCCTTGAATTCACAAAAAGGTGTATGGGGAGGGGACAGATGGCAGGAGAGCTTTGAATGCTTCCCGGATCTGGGTACCTAATCTATAAGATGCAAACGAGAAAATGAGCAGAGGAAAGACCGAAGAAGGACAGTGCCCATCCACCCTCCCTACACCACCCCCGACGCCTGCACCCTCCTTACCGCCCACTGTCCAGAGCTCCGGGAGCTTGCGGGTGTTGCTTCTTCCTCCTGTGGATGGGGCCCGGACTGTGATGCGGGCACAGGGACGCGTAGCCATGCTCTGCCTCTGCCAGAAAGAGGCAGAGCCAGCCCGTGTCAAGCTAGGACTGGAAGGGGCCCCTGGCACATCAGGGTCAAGGAAGGGCTTCTGGCGCCGAGACCATCTCCCCAACCCTTCCCTACCCGACCGCCCGCGAACTCCTCTGAGTTGAGGATGGATTATTGCCCTAATGTGCATCGTTCAAGTTGCATTCCAAGTCGTCCAGGCCCATGTCAGTGAGGTCTCCTTCAGGAGTCTAGCCCAGAGTTCTTCCTCACCTCTCTCACGGCGCTCCAGGAACTCAGCCGCCTGCAGCAGGACCTGGATGTTGCTAGCCACAGGTTCCATGTCGGCGACAGCTGATGGCGGGCGGGCCTAGGGTGCTGGCCAGAGCGGCGGCCCCACCACTTTTGTTACAATGTAACTGACACAGGGCAACAAACACAGGCGCTCGGCCCCGCCCCCAGGATGCCCCGCCCTTGGGAACGCCCATTCATTGGGACCGCCTCCTTGGAAAACTCCCACCCTCTGCGAACCTGCCCGCCCACAAGTGGCCAGGGACGCTCGCGGGGCAGGAGTTGGCGCTGGCTCCAGTCCTGGTCCTTGGGTGGACCCCTGGGCCAGGGTCCTGCGTCTTGTTCTCTTATCTCAGCGACCCCGCGGTTCCTTGGCGTTACCAGCCCCATGCAGGCAGAGAGCCTTCCGTATACGGTGCTGCAGGGCCAATCGCTCCCCAGGAGGCCCGGGCTCTGGCGCGCACGTGGGCGCCGCGGGGGCTGGGCCAGCCAGCAACCGCTAGTCCATTCGCTTGTTTCTGGCCTAGGCTTGCTGTCGTCACCTTCTGGGTGGGACCGGAGAGCCTCTGAGACACGATTGGCTGTCGCGTGGCCCCGCCCTCTCCCGCTGCTGGTTTACACGTTCGGGCGGGAAAAGAAGCAGGTTTCAAATTTGAAAACCCAGGCGATGGGGCGGGGTTGAGCGGCAACAAGGCGGCGTTGCGCAGGCGCTGGCGGAGGCGGGGCGAACCCGGCTGTACTGTTCCTACGCCTGTCTGCGGTCTGGCCCCCCTGGGCCCGGTGGGGCCTCAGCTTCCTATCGTGTCGAATGGGAATAATCTCCCAGTTCCCCCACCTCGACTGCAGGGAAGCTATGTTGCCACGAAAAGTCAGGAGGATGAAAGCGTCCCAAGCCAGGCCATATCCTGGAAACATGCCGTCTGGCTTTTTAGGGAACCCTGGGTTCTGGAATCGGCGGGATAGGGCTCCTCTCCTATCACTGCTGACTTAGTTGTGTGTGACACGAAGGCCCTGCAACAGAGGTTGTGGAGGATCAGAGCCAATGCCTATACAGTGCCAAGTATGAAGCCGCCACCGCTTTCTAAGACCACTTCTTTCTCTCTGGTTGCCTTTCTCAGAGTCCATGAGCCCTCCCCCACCCCTTTGGTGTGGTCTGGAAAGTGATAGGCAAGCGCTCTACCAGTCAACTATGTCCCCATCCATCGCTTGGATCTTGCTAAATTGCCAAGGCTGACCTCAAATTTGTCATTCTCCTGCCTCAGCCTCCTGAGTATCTGGGAATGTAGGCTGAGAATATAGGCATATGCATCCTCAGGGCTTATGAACCCTTCTGGAAAGTGACTTTAACCTTCTGGAGTTTTTGCTGTGCCTCTTGGGCCACTACCAGCTCAGGTGTAGCCACACCTATGGGACAGGAAGGTGAGAGCAGCTCTAAACAGGATGGGGCATTACTGTCAAGCATGAGCAAACAGAAAAGGAGGAGGGTAATTACACCAAAAAGAGATATCCCTAGGTAAACACAGGCACCTGTGAGTCAAGCCTCAGTTTCTTGGAGGTTCTCTAGAGTCACTACCAGGAATCTCCAATTGCTCAAGTCAAGAACTGCTGCCTGGGACCATCCATCCTCACATCCATGGTCCATTCACTCTCAAATATTTGCTGAGTGGTTAAATGACACCAGGCACTGTCCTGGGGTGGCACAGTGGCTGGGAGAGCACAACAGTGGGCTTTTGTAGAGTTCATAGGCTTGACAGGGAGAGAGACCAATTTACTCATAAAGGCAGGGTTCCAACTTAAACAGGTCTTCTCAGGAAAAGACAATGCTGGAGGCATGCCTACGGAGCACTTTTGACCTAATCCAGGAGGTTAGAGAAGGTTTTCCTGGAGAAATGAAAGAATAGGTATTATCTGTATACAGGAGGGATGAAAGAGAATACCAGACAGAAGAGCGTGTGCAAAAGGCTGAAAAGAATGTGGCAGTTGGCAGACTGAGACAAGGCCGGTGTGGCTACACAGAGCAAAGAATGTGGTGCAGGCCAACACTTGGATAGGCTGATTGTGCCCAGAGAGGGTTGATGGGTTCCTTAAACCCATGTCTGCAATCAGTCATATCTGAAGAAAGCAGTCACAAGGCTTGTGAATGAGTTACCAGTTTTATTTCACTAAAGACACCATCCTGGGGCTGGGGCTGGGGCTCAGTGATAGAGCACTTGCCTAGCACGTGTGAGGCACTGGGTTTGGTCCTTAGCACCACATAAAAGTTAATACATAAAATAAAGGTGCTGTGTCCATCTACAACTAAAAATATAAAAACAAAAAACACCATCTCCACGATGCAGTTACAAAACTTCTAGTCAGACATCTGGCACCCAGGAGGCCCCACTTGGAGTCTGGGCAGAACTGGGGCAAGGAGGTTCTCGGAGGAAAGTTCCCAGCACACTCAGGGAAAGAAAAAGGCAAGGGAAGCGAGGCAGAGGCTGTAAAGGGACATGTTGAAGAGTTTCAGCCTTCATCCTAGAAGCCCTGGGGAAGAGTCAAGTTAGGGAACAGCATGCAAGCTGAGGTCAGCCTAGCCTCAGGCCTCCCATGAATATGGGTCTAGGGCAGCCAGGACAATACCTTCCTGGGAGAATGACAGGGGCAGGGATGGGGCTTGGACCGACAGATCTCCTGCCGCAAGCCCTCCAATGCCCTTCTGGTCCACTTTGAGAAAATGCTAGAGAGCTAGTGCCTTCTGGACCCAGGACCAACAGAGGAGGCCTATGCTCCTGCCCCTCAGAAGTCCTAGAACCTCTGTCCTAGATCCCCAGCATCCTGTACTACCTCTGGCGCTCAACAGTGCAGCAAGAACAGTGGGAAACTCAGGTCCCCTGCCCTGTGTCTTCCCACCCCCAGCCTTGCCTGCCTGTCATAGTCAACACTACTGGGTTGCCTGGAGGGAAGGAGACCCCCCCTGCTCTTGGTCCAGTCAGTTCCCCCTGAAGAGGGCAGCCTGCTCCACCTTTACCATCCTCTCACACTCTTACCAACAGGATACAGAGACTTGTCCTGCTGTCCCTCCAGAGAGTAGCTTGCGGGCAGGGAACTTGTGGGCCTGGCCTGCCCATTCTCCCTGAGCTGCCTAACCCTATCTCTCCCACATTACTCATCCTCTCTTCTTCTCAAACAGCAATATTCCTTAGTCATGGAGTTACCCAGGCTAGGCCCCTGTTAAAAGCCTGGTAATGGCTTCCCATAACCCTCAGGACAAAGTTCAAGCTGGCGGAACTACTTCTCCTGCCATGCCATGGGTCAGGCTATGCCCTTGCCCATCTCCCTGCCTCTGCCAACTGAGCTCAAAAGTCACTTCTAGAAAGTGTCAGGCCTTCCTATTTCTGTACATCCTCTTAAACAATAGTGGTTGCTGGGCACGGTACCTCCCATCTACCCAGAGGCTGGGACAGGAGCATCCTAAGTTCAAGGCTAATCTGGGAGATTTAGAAGACCCTGTCTCAAAATACATGAAAGGCTTGGGAGCAGCTCAGTGGTGGAGTGCGTGCCTAGCAGGTGTGAGGCTCTGGGTTTGATCCCCAGCACCATAAAAAAAATAAATAAAAATAAACAGAAGAGGCCCTAACACAATTTCCCAGTACTTTGAATTATCAATATCAGAGTTATAACCTGCCAGTGTTATACCATCTTGCAGTATGGCAGTAGATGTATCCTGAAAAATAAGAATCAAAAAGTGCTGGCACATTGCAGAGTCCCCTCAGTCATTAAGTGAGTCCAATCCATCATCATATTGTCTAACTAAAATGTGTCCTGAAGTGAGGCTACTCCGGCTTGCAGGCCTCTGTTCATATGTTTCATGTCCCCAAAATAGGAGTGGTCTTACCAACACATGGATTCACTCAAGTATCTGGTCAGAGCTACGAGACAACATCATCTCTTGCTCTAAGCATCTTTCAAGGTGTTATTGTAATACTGAATTTCCCTTATTGTGTGATCCATTTCCTTTACCCTCAACTTCTATTCCTCCTCTTCATTTGTCCCCACACTTTTCCACCTTTGGAAGGGATACTAGTTCAGCCACTGTCTGGCCCAGGTTGCTGGTAGTAATGCTCATCTAGCAAGTACCTCCCCTCTCAGTCCATCCTGTTTGAATAGGGTAAAGTCTCCAGGGACACAGCTAGCAGGCTGTCTTCATCACAAGGCAACCAACACATGCACTCACTATTGACCCAATTTTGGCAGATGGGTGAAGACCCAACCATTGCCCTCAGAGATTTGACATAAAGGGATAAAGGTGTGCACTCTTATACTTAGGGATCATAATTACTTCTGGCACCTGCGGTTGCAACACTGTTCCCCTGTCCCCTAAATCAGATAAGACAAAAGAAGGTGAGGCAATATGCCAGAAAAAGAAAAAGAAAAAGAAAAGTATCATCATGCCAGCATTATTCCCATTCCCTCTTTCCTAGATCCTCCAGAAAAGCTGAGGAATCCATCAGGGAGCCTCCGGAGCCCCTTCATGTTGAGTGTGAGCACACATTCATGAAGCCACATAACCAGTCCTTCAGGGCTTCAGCTCCCCATATTTGACTAAAATAGGTGTTTCCATCACCTATTCCAGTTCTTCATCAAACCGTTATTTTGAGGATACCTCTGCACCCATGGTTGGACATCATGGGCTGTAGAATATGTTCCTGGGTCTGAAGAAACTTGACCTGGCCATTCAGTATCTTCCATTCTGGGCCCTTAACACTGGCATCTTCCAGGGCTAAGCCAAGCCTGGTGCACAGGGACTGTCTATTCTTGCCAGGACCTCTGGGGCCAAGGCATTGATCTGACTTGCCAGCTATGTGCAGGGTCTTCCCTCAGAGCCTGCCCACAGCCACCTGCAGTCTGCCTCTCTTGTTGCAGACACAGTTCCTACTGACATGCTGTGCTTCGGAGAGTGTAAGAAGAACATCCTGGACACACTCCCCGTCTACATTGCTGTAGCACCCACACCGTGTCTGCTCCTTTAATGGGCCCTGTGTGAGTTCCGTGGAACATCCACTCCCTGGTTCTGAACACCTTCCAATCCTGGAATGCGGTTCTTCTGTGGCATCTGCAAGACCTCCTTTGATGTACCCCCAGATTCCTATAGCGATTTCCATGGAGCCAGTGCTCCACTCAGGAGTCCCCAAAATAGATCCTTTTCCCACTGCCCTGAGTTGGTGGAAACCCAAACATGAGGCAAGCAGCATGCAGTGATGCTTCCCAGGTCGGTTTATTTCTGCTTTCCTCAGTGAGAGTGGCAGCCTTCCAGAGAGAAAACTGTCCTCTCACCCTGAAACATCCATCCACGAGCCAAGAGGCTCCTTGTTGTTCAATAAAAGTTGTTCATAGGGCACTTCCCAAGTGGACCAAATGGCCACAGAATCCAGAAACTTCTCAGGTGATTCGAAAGGCAGCCCCAGGGAAAAAGACCTCAGGCCTGCCTCCTTG